GAAAGGGCATGAGAACTTAAATCTATGACTCATGTTGTTTCTCAACAGTTCAAATTAGTCTTCTCATGCAAGAGAATTCCTACATGTGGCACCAAATCACTGCAAAACGATTCTTCTCCTGTGGGACAGCTGACATTTAAAAGACTACTAGTCTGTAAAACTCTGATCTTTGATGTTTGGCTCAAATTGTAAATGCAGCCATTAAGATCATTTGCACTTGCTGCTGGAGTATCGTAGCAAAGAATAAATGAGAATATTAAATGTTTCTGCTTCTTTCTTTGGAGTCTGTGAGCACCTAAGGACATGAACCCTTTCTCATTAAGTCTGGCACATTTCAGTTGGATTTCTGCCCTCCGGGAGAAGCAGCTTTTTAAACTTCATGTTAATTAACTGCACACTTTGGACTTCTAAGCGAAAGAATTCAGTGAAGACCTGGTCCCAAAGCCCACACACCTCTATGAGGGCCCTTCACTGCCTTCTATCACTTTTAGATGAAGTCCTGAGTAATAGGGATTCTCTAAACAGGTCAGCTGATTTGATGGAGAATATCATCCAGGGAAAATTTACATGCACTCATTTTGAAAGGGTTTTTACATACATCTACTGTATAAAACTTTTTCAAAACTCACTGGATTTAGAGGGAGCCTTTTCGCTGACTGTACCTGAATTAAAATCCATAGCTGCAACAGTAATAATTTAAAAAAAGATATAAAATCCTAATGATTAAGACATGTTGTCAACTACAGAAAATATTCTTGGAGAATCAGCTTTGTAATTCCAAGCAATGGAAAATACAGAGTGACACACCTTAGCACCAAAATGGAGCCCTTAAGATAATATTTATATGCATGTAATAAAACTGGTTTTAATGGTGTTCTTTTACAGCATGTTGGGTTTTTTTTTTGGCACTTGAATACTAAACTGGGAGAAACAGCCTGATCTGCATCATTCTCCAGACATGCTGCATCATCAAAGTAAAAAGCATTTGAAATGCCCTTGGTGCTGAGCTTCCAAGACCTTGTAATTGCATTGCAGCTCCACCAAATTCGAGCTGGTGTCCTGAAAAGACTGAGAACAGCTTTTTGGGTGACCAAATACTGAGTATGGCGGCTTGACAAGTGTCTGGTTGGGCTTCAAAGTGCTGAGATGGATTTTGCTCCAAACCTTTTGACTTCTAACCACCAAAGACTTCAGGTTAAAGCCAAGGAATGGGGACTTTCCAATTTAAGGCAAATAAGCTGTTTACCCACACTGAACTGTTATGAGTTTTGTGTGTCCAACTTCCTGAGAAGTTTTTAAATCCCAGCAGGCCTCCAAACACCTCTGGCAATGCAGATCAGGCTGTCTCAGCTAGGACATGCACCTGATTGAAAGATGCTTCACTCAAGACAGGTTGTGTAACCATTTGCCCTGATTTCAGTAAGCGCTGAGGATGCACAACATTTCTAAGAGGTTCTCTGCACCCTACAGGACCAGACTTTCAAGGACTAATGTGTATGATTTACAGGTTGACCTGCATCCTCTGAAATCCCTCTCAAAGCTGGGGGAGGCTATGAGAAGTAGAAACAGTCAGGAATTTAGTCATCTTGCACTTAAGAGAAAATGGAGTGTGAAGGGGAGCTGTGTGTTTTTGAACTGCAAAGAAGAGACGACCTTGGGACCCCAAAAGAGAATTTTGCTTGTAGATGGGAGAGAAGCATCGATGAAAACAGGAAGGTGGGACAACCAGCAGGAAAGCATGAGCATTATCATAAGTAAATGTGTAATTCTCACATCATCTTCCAGGGCTTGCAACCCGATAACTGGCTGGATTCTGCCTAAGAAAGACGCTGAGGGGTCCAAGATGGTTGCAGAAACCGGCCCCTTGACTTCTTCAACCAAGCTGAGCAAAGGCCCAAAAAGTAGCCAATACAGAAGTATCAAAGCATGATATGCTCAACCCTTTCCTTGTGCTCCAGAGCACAAAGCTCTAGCAATGTTCATCCTTCATAATATGCCGAAAGAGAGGCCAACAAAGGATGCCTGCACACCTTTTTTGTGGGAGCAAAGTGGTCTGTGTGAACATGCTGAAGCTCAACATCCAGCATCGCAAATACAACTGCAGGACTGCTTCTCAGCCCTTGGTAATCATGTGTTTAGCACTTCAGAGTAGTGGTTTTTTGCAGCTGGAAAATACAATAAAACTTCATCCGTGGATGCAAACAGGTGGAAGATGTAATTTCAACAACAGGACCGGTGCATATGCAACTATACCAACTCTGAATATAACCTATGCTAGACCAGAAACAACTCTTATCATTCTACTTGGTGAAGTGCTATTTCACCCTAACAAAAACTGGTTTTAAATGTCGCTTTTGAGGTTCATTACCCAAAATCTTGCAAATTCTCCAGAACTGAAAAAAAGTGCAGGCAAAAGTAAGCAGTTCTCTCCAATCTCTGCTCAAGGTTTAAATGACAATCTGAGCACAGTATCCAATTAAACTATGTACAATCTGTTCTCATTTGCTTAAGAAACTGTCGAAGACCTTCAGCTCCAGCTTTTCTGGAAGTCAATCAGTGCCAGAGCCAACATCTGCCCAATTCCCTTTTTCTCTCAATTCTAAAGACTGAAAAAAAAGTTATGAAGCATTTATCACCCAGCAGGTACAAGGTAATTGTACAAGAAAGACTTCAGGTTATCATCTTCTCCAAAAGGAACAGAGAGTGATAAATGATAGGACACTGAAAAACAGTAAATTGAAAGATGAGTGATGAGGAGAAAGAAACATGAGGAAATAAAACAGCTGTCACAACCTAAAATTAACCCTTTTTTTTGTTTAATACGTGGGATTTTAATACGATTTAACTTCCCTGAACAATTAGTAGAGATTGCCATGTATTGAGCTCCACACTTCACCCATCCCCTGCTTGGCCAGCATTAGGGTTGGTCATTCTCAGAGTCTGCAGGTGTCTGCTCCCCAGTCGTGCTTCCATGAGTACTTAGCTGCCATAGGAATATCTACAGTTACAAGGTTAACGGAGAAAACACTGAAGTTCTTCCAACATGTGCCAGGAAGCATTAATGTCTCTGACAAATCTGAGCAGCCATAAACTCTGAGGAACATTAGAGGGGGATTCTCAGAGAGAAGTGGACTTGGCAATAAAGGTTCACTGCCAGGATGCTCAAAAAGGCAGATTTTCTTCCTTGAAATGTTCTCGTATTCTGGTTTTCCTGACAGCAGTCTTGTGGGAGCTGGCTCAGAGTTAAACCAGCCTGGCTCAGTTAAACCAGCTGGCTCAGAGTTAAACCAGCCTTGGAAAGGACTGGGCTGAAGCACAGAGGTCCTGGGAGAAGCATCCTCATTTCCCTCAGCCATACTCTTTTTTTTGCCAGACAGAATCCTTCTGTCTTCAGTTGTTCCTACAAGGAGCAACTTTTTAGGAATCTGAAAGGGAATCCAAGCAATTATCAAACCAAGTGTGTGGGTGCAGTCCACTGCTGCTGTTCAGTAGTTAGTCCAGTCTAAAACACAAGTTTTGAATGTCTGCACCACTGCAGGCCTCTTTATCCTTGGCTTTTGGAGAAGTGGAGGAAACCTCTTAAGCGCAGAGGTGACCACATCTTTTCTTTTCCTCTGATTTGAACTTCATACCAAGAGGAAGCAAACAGCTGAGCCCAGACCCAGTCCTGCTGGTCTTCCACTTCAGAAAACTTCCAGTGAAGTCTGCAGGAGCTGGCCAAGCCTGCAGCAGTAGGATCCATCAAATTTTTGAGTGACAAATCAGGAAAATCACTGAAAGATGGATCATAAAGTCCCCAGTGATGTATTGCAGATATAGACAATATTTCTTGCCTAACACATGCTCTAGGGCAGATTCAGATGTATTCCAGGATTTTATTTCTTTCTGAGATTTTCCACCTTTAATCTAAAGAATTTAAGGAGGAAATTGATAAAGAGGAAAGCTCCAGCTCTCGTCTGGTTGGTCACTAGGTTATTTTGAGCAGGATGATCTGATCCAGGCTTGCAGTCACCATTTGGCAACTATTCAAGGTATGGTTATCTGGCCATAAGTGCAGCTGTTCAAATTTAGGGTTAAAGAGACATTTCTTTTGGAAGAGGACTTCCCTGGGTGGGCTTTGGCATCACGGCATTGTAACAGAGCTGTGTACAATTTCCAGGGCAAATATAAAACCCAAGCTAAGTTCCTGAAGGGCAGGAAAAGGGGTCTCTACAGCTTAAAAAAAAAAAAAAAAAAAAAAAAAGCCTGCTGAAAGCAGTGCTTTCCCACGAAATCTGGCTAAACCTTAACAAGAACCATCCATTTTGCTTTCTGAGAGACGGATTCACTTGCACCTTAAAGCCAGAGCAAAATTCAGGCTTGGTCCCAAGTTTGGTTCTTGCTTTGGGATGAACTTCACACCAACGTGTTGCCAGAGCCTTTGCAGAGTAGTTGTGAACCGAGACTTGACACATGTTCGGAAGGAGAGGAGGAAGCATCGTGTACCCCTGCAATGTGGACGGAAACCCCAAGCCTGTTTGGAGTAAGTCCCAGTTTAGCTGGTTTCTGTGACCAGAGATGGAGGGGAAAAAAAAAAAAAAAAAAAGCCCATTGATCACCAAGATCAAATTTGCAGTAAACCCTGGGTAATGTTGAAAATGGTCACTTACATTTCAATATGAAAGAAGTGTGTCAGGGTTGGCTGAAAGGATAGTTTGTGTCCTAGACAAACCATCAACAGCCGGGAATGTCCAACCGTTGTCCCTTGGGAAAGTGCCTGCCACTGGTAGCCAAAGTTGGTCGGATTTGTTTAAAAACAAACGAACAAAAAGCAACAAGTCATCTGATCCACAGCGACCTAAACACCTCAGCCCAACAGATTAGCGAAGAAAAGATGCCAACAATCTCTCAGTGTGCTTTGCAAATGCAGAAAAAATAATTCAATTTCTTGCTAGTTTTCTTTTCTTAAAAAACAAGCTACTTCCCAGTGCTTCTGATTCCATGTATTTTCAGAAAAAAAAAAGAGAGGATGAAAAAGGGAGCGGAGAGGAACGGAGGAGCGTAGTCAGTTGGCGTATTGTGCATAGAAAGCCACTTTCACTCGCTCGATCTGGTGACACAGCTTGATGGCCGGCCCCAGCTTCAGCTCCATGCACTCTTGCACCGTGGGCAGCGTCAGCAGCAGGAGGGCTTGGCCATCAATGTCCTGGGAAAGGAGAAACAGTGATAGCAGCTTTGCTGGGGGAACTAGGGTGCAGAGGCGAGCAAGGAAGCCTGCCCTCAAAATTAGACTTTTTTTGTGCAACATTTTGTCCTCCGCTTTTTTCTTAATGAACTGTCCCCACTTTGATGTTGCCCATCCCTCTGGGATGCCTGATGCCTTTTCAGAAGTTGTCTAAGATTGCTCCTTAGGTTCTCAGTTCTTCCCCAGTTTGGGAAAAACCTCCCAGACTCTGAATTTCTGAGCATATACCATAGGCACCCTGGAGATCTGACCAGTTCCATTTTACAGATGAGGAACTGAGACAAGGGGAAGGTCACAGAGGTCACGTCCAGACCCTCAGACCCAATTATGTCCCAAACTTCCTGAGCCGGTACCCCAGAAAAAAAAAATGTCCTTTTATGATAGATTTCTGCTGGCTTCATTATCTTATTCTTAAGAGCTCGAGTGCAGCTGGCTGCAGCCTAATTGACCACTCTTGGTCTAAGAAATGGATCTTTCTATCTATGGACTTCCTGGAGTTGCCCCTTTGCTTTCAAATTGATCAGTAATGGCCATTACTCATTACATAAAGAATAGCTGCCTCTATATTTATCTTATAGCTTCATGATAACTTGTAGCAAACAACCACTACCTTTTGGTACACTGAGATGCCTACTTGACACCAGGATGCTTTTGTGGGACCTTGCCATGGGCAACAAAAGCTTAAACCTCCTCATTTTCATAAGGACTTTGAGAAGTTTCTGCCCTGAGGATTTGCCAAATCTCTGCCAAATCTCTAGCACTAATACACAAAGGTTTCCCTGCTTTCTCAATTTTTGTGCCGTAGCTTAGAGTGGATGTGAAATCTGGTCACAGTCTTTGCTGATGTTCTGGGCCCAGCTAGCAATGTAGTATGTCCTGTCTTTTTTTTTTTTTTTGACATGCAAACAAGCACCATGCAGATGAAGTGTTACACAGAAACACCTACCTGCTCCTGAAATATCTTGGCAAGTGGCGCACAGTCAGTCAGTTTGATAAACCTCACGACATCAGTCACAGTCCATTCCAATGGATTACTGTCCAGGATGAGTTTCTCTTCCTCTTCTGCTTTCATTTCCTACAAAAACCAAAAGCTCTTGTAAAGAAAACTACAGGACTGAGGACTACTCAAGCAGAGCAGAGATGCTCTTATCAACCTCGACACCCACGGTCAGTTTAGAGAAAATAACGCCATTAATTAGGCGTGAACATGACGAGTCTGTTGCCATACTCACTTCCTTGACTTGAGGGCACTTCCCTCCCTCACTGTAGGAGAGAGGTTGGGATTTCCGGCTCCTCCGGGCCCTCTCGGTGGGAGCGGGTCGGTCCGACTCGGCGCTGCTCCGCAGTGTGACGGCGCGCCGCGGCCGCGCAGAGGGCACCTCGGCGGACGAGGTGTCCGTCTGGTCATCGCGGAGCTCGGAGCTGGTTTCCTCGCTCCCCGTCTCATCCTCCATTGCATCTGCCTCATCCTCTTCGCTTTCCTGCAAAAAGAGCATCAGAGAAACGACATCCAGGCCTGGAGATTAATACAACGGCACATCGAGAGGTACCAGGTCAAATTGTATGCCCAAGCACACGTCACCCCACAGTAACATTTATTTTAACTAACTGAATTACCTCTTTTTTACTACGGTGCTAAGTAGATTAGTCCCTAGTTTAGATTTCTTACAAAATGGAAAACTAAAAATACACAGTGAATAGATCCTTCTTTTGTTTCTAACAAAAGGTCAATGGCAATAACTTATCACGCACGAAATGTTGCTCTGCTGTGCCTGCATCTCGAACCTGATGGCACCATCGAGGTGCAAGAGAATGGGAAATGGAAACCACTGAAAGGATAAAACAAAACTCAGGTTGCTCAAGGTGAAAGAAAACCCGAAACACGCTTGATTTTAAACCTTCCCCTTGCTCCGAAGAATCATGGGTGCCACTCTTATTGAAAGGAAGGAAATGTTGGTGCCTTTTAAAACCATTAAGATGTACAAGTGAATAGAAGGAATTGCTCAGCTGGCATTTCAGTACATTCCGGAACATAGGATTTCACTTGATTTTCCTGCTTCTAGCTCATACGAAGTCTTGGTGAGATTGAAGCTTCAAATTTGGGATGCAAACCCTTTGCTTGATTTCTAAACCTCCTAGTGCTTCTGTTGTTCGGTGTTACAATCCCGAAATCTTACAAATAAAGGAAAAAATAAGGGCCCTGGAAACCCCGATGACCTAAGGGATGTCATTTGCAATATTATAATACTTGGAGATCTTGGACATGGATCTCGGACCTACTCCATGGTGCTAGATGCTGCACAAACATTGAGGTTATAAAATCAGACAGCATGTAACTGATCAGCACAACAAATGCTTAATCAGAATGCTTAATATACTATCAAGTATTTGGAAACCTCTGAATCCAGAGTACAACGAAGGACCTTGTGAGCACCTGCTCTACTTGTTAATTCAGGAACAAGCATGGGCTAAGTCTCCAAAGTGTCCTCGAAACACCTACATGATCCTTGCAATAGGGTGCTAAGGAGGGATTCAAAACAGGAGAGTGAAGTGTTGGGGTTTGCTGAGAGCTCTCCCTAAGGGGATATGTGGATGGGGGACAAAAAAGCCCCAAGGGCATTGCTGATTTATCAGCATCTACCTCTGCGGAGCCTGCAGCGTTCGAATCGACAGCTGACGTCCTCCTTTTCTTCTGCACAAAGATGGATTTCCGCCTTTTCCTGCGTCTGGCTGGCTTGACATGCCCACTTTTTATGCTGTTATTTTCCCCAATTGGCGGCTTAATGATTTTTTTCCTCTTCCCATAATAATAAGCTAGAGAAATGAAAGCAGAACACTCATTAAAAACTCTAGCCATCAAAAGAAGGGAACTTTATATTGCTTCTCACTCCTGATTAAATATCACACTCTAGCTGCACTTTTACAAGGAACTTTAAAATACCTGAGTTCAGAAAAAAAAATCTAGTTCAAATACAGGACCTCATCTTGAACTAGTGTGAAGTGTTAGAGCTCTTATGTATACACATTTATTGCTGAGAAGTTCTGAATTTAACTCTACTACTATGTGTACTTAGGCAAAGCTTCCTCTAAGCTAGGGAACAATCTGGAGGGAAAGGGGTCTACATGTTTCAGATCTGACCTTCAGCATGAGTTAAGTCTTAGGTACACTTTTGGTTGCTGATGGTTGCAGTACAAGGCAGGCAACTATGAATTATGTATGTTTGTTCAGTATATGGAGGACTGGGTTTTTATTGCCTTCAAATATTTCTTGGACCAAGCTGAAATAACATTCAGCACACAGGAGATGAGTGTCCTCTGGCCTTATGCTAAGGGCTTGGTTCGGCTGCCATGTGAAATGCTCCACAGCATCCCCTAAGGTTGGCAGAGGTCAACCTACAGGAGGTCTAGGATAAATCCACATCAGGTAGGTCAGGTTGGGGTATCTAGGACACTCTTGGCACCCATGTATAGGCAACTGAACCTTTTGCCAATACAGTCAGTCAAGTTTAAGACATGACTCCTCTGACCAAGTACACAGACATCAACTTTGGGATAAGAACCACAGTCTGTGCTCTCCTGGATGAGCTCCTCTAGCTCTCCACTCAATGGAGTTGGAGTCTAGAGACTAACTCAAGCGGAGACTCCTACAGAAATTCACATCTGGTGATCTGAATCTATCCCTGGGCCCATGTCTTCTTTTGCCCTGGTACGGAACAGGATCAATTTCTCTTAAAACATTCAGTTTAGCTTCTTACAAGTTGTGTGTGAGATGAACAGCACCCACTTCCACTTTTGTGACCTGCTAAAGAGCTACTTTATCTAACACCAGCAACAGTGAGTGTTGAACACATGCTTAACATCAGCATTCCTGAATAGGTAGGCATGTGCTTAAATATTAAACTCTGGGTACCCAGAGGTCAATGCTAACAAACTCCTTCTAGAAGCCTTGTCGTTGTTACACTGGCATGTGCTGATGCATGTGATGAAAACTCTTTGCTAAATAGGAGGAGAGGATTCACCTCACAGTGCAGATATCTGAGACGTAGTTGTTTAAAACTCAGTGGCTGCTGCATGTTCCTTTTATATACACCCTGTATTTTATCTTTATATACAAAGAGAAGGCAGCACTTCCAAAGTTGACTTTTAATAGGAAGACCAAAAGAGTGACTTTCACATAAATATAGTAGGTAGGAGTGATATGTACTATTTTCTGAGGATGCCCATTTCTTGGCAACAACTAGTAATGGAGCCCATACTGACTTGGTCAGGATTAAATAACTCTTTTGGACATATCTGATTTGGTGAGGTAGCTCACACTCAGTACTAACACTTGACACAACTCGTGCTCTGATTCTCAGCTAGCAACCAGAAGCATTACAGCTAATACTTACTGTACTTGGTTTTGGTATGAATGGAACAGTTCTCCGGGCAGACTTCGGCCACCAAGACAGGACTGAAAAGATTGGGACAGCACTCCAGCTTTGCACAGACTCTTCTGCAGAAATCTGCTACCTGATCTGACGTTCGCACAATCTTAACCGTTGCCCTGTATGTCTTCCCCCTGTATCTAGGAAAGAGTATAACAACATCTCAGGTCACCAATCAAGCCATGACCTTCAATGCTACAGATTAGGCTCTGCCCTCTGTTAGATGGGCCACATCCCTGATGACTTCTGGAAGAGCTTTTTCTTTAGGAGGAAAGCACTTGTTTTAGTGACTCTGTTTCAGACAGATAGACCTGAACAAGGAAAGGAAGGATAAAATGATGCTGGAAGCTGAGGTGTGGTTGTTGTTTGGGGAGAAATGCACATACAGCCTGGATTTAACCGGAGACATGACAAGAGTAAGCTCAGAGTACAGTTGGTGGTGATAATGCCCATGTACAGTCATACCACAAGCCGATGGATCTTCAGAATTGCCTCATGGTGTTTGGGAGAGGGCCTTATAGGCTGACCTGCTATGAGAAGCATATCCAACTTGCAGAACTACTTGGTTCTTCACCATCCCAAGCTTGGGCTGTACTGGAGACTGTCTCTGTACGCCTCCACCTACACCTCTGGTCTTCTCCATCTTTCTTGAGGCAGCTCTCCCAACACATCCTACAGGGAGGACAAACTGAGCACAAACTGACTTCAGTAATCCAGATACTTTTCATGGCGGGCATCAGGAAGAAATAAGGGGAAATTCAGCTCTCGGCTTTACCCAGCGACTTGTCACCAGACTTGTCAATAGCTGCAAGGATCTTCGCTTTCTGTCCTCTGCCAGTGATGCACAAATGTGCCATCCCCATACTGTGAAATGCTTTAGCCTGGTCTATCCAAACTGGGTATAAGTGTCCAGCTAAAACTGAGCTGTCAGCTATAGGGGTAAAGTCACCTGATCCCCATATGAGATCAATGCAGTACAAAGCCCCAGGAACTAATCCGGAGTCTCTTGATGTTTAACTGGGCTGCAGGAAGAGGCCCTAAAAACAGTGACTTCTGACAGGAATACTTAGAGCAGAGAGCTGCAGTGCAAGGCTTGTCTTGAAATTTGTTATCCATGTGCTACTAAAACATTTATTTTGGTGTACTATATGAAGTGTTTTTGAGCGATAAATGGCTAAGAGAGATACAGTTACATCCCTGCTGTAATACATTGGAGATGTGACCTCTGAAAAACCAATTATCCCCATAATTTATTAAACAGCAGCACCAAGCTATTGTAAACAGCTAGATAAGGTTTTTAAAACATCTCTTACGCATCCCGAGGAATACGACATAAGAGACAATCATGTGAGTGCCTGGTGTTAAGGCACTATAAATGTGCTCAGAAGACAGAAAAATAACACATAAAAGAAAGCAGAGGGGGAAGGGAGTGAAAAAGAGAGATTACTGGCTTAGAAACCATGAAAGACAATTGCAGTCTTCAGGTAAAATGGGGAAAACACTACTGCATTAAGATCCCCTGCTAACAGGGAAGCAGTTGCTGATAGTCCAGTATAGAAGAAGAAGAAGAGAAGAAGATAAAACAAGAGAGCCATGACCAGAGAGTTAAGAAACGCATCATTCTCCTTGGACCCCCTTCCCTCTCTCTGAAGGTTTCACTAAGAAACAAGATCCCAGGTCACGAAGTCAATCCTGGATTCATTAAATAGTTAATGAGCCAAGTCTCATGCACCCCATCAGAACTGGACAGATGATATACAATGGAAGAAGTGCTACTTCCAATACAGAAAAGAGCACTTTTATCCCAACTTCCCAATGAGAAAAAAATTCTTCATAGATAGGCTGGCTAAAGAAGCTTTGGCAAAACCTAATATGATTTCCACAGACATTTAAATATGCATCCTTATGAAGGCCTTATACTTCTTTTCAATACATTTGAAAAGACTCCTGTCCTTATTAATTCTCCAGCAGCCATTAAACAACTGCCTAACTCCTTAGGTCAGCAAGTCAGACTCCTGCAACAGGCTGCAGAACTTCCTTCTGGTACCTTCAACTGAACCCCAACAACTTTAGTTGGATGAAAGCATCAATTCCAGAAAACCACCAGCTTCTCTCTAAAGCTGGAAGCATTCATTACATTACTGGGCAGCAGGAACATCTATACCTGTAAGCCTATGCTTCATTTTAAATCTGGACGTGTCTTGATTTAACTTATATTTATATGCCCTTGTTCTGACTTTTACTACTAGGATGAAAAGATCACATCTGGTCTTGCTTCCCTGCAAAGCAATGCAATCAAATTGCCTCTTATCTTCTTTCTTACAAGCTAAGCTACCTGATAATACCTGGGTGTTATTCAAGGATGGCTCACTTTTTCTAACTTTATACTTCCTTTAGTGTTTGGCTATCCAGAAAGGTCGCACTGCACTAGAGCGATTGGCAAAAGAAAAAAGATGAAGCTGATAAAATGAAAAACTGATTTTGCAGACTGCTTTGAAGGCAAAGCACATATTGCACATAGTGACTAATAGAAAGGATGGCAGAATGGAGATCAGCATGACTGGAGGAATGACTCTCAATAACCTAAGGTGTTAGTACTGGCCACAAAAAAAAAAAAATCACACAATTTTAGCCTTGGTAGCACCTCTTTCAACTATAAACCAGTATCTACTAATATTTTCCATTTTTCTTTCATTCCAAAGCCTTTTAACACAAACACCACTAAACATAATCTGAGCTTATTTAAGACGCCCTGTGGAAAGAGCTCCTAAGATAAAAGCTGAAAACCTTTTTCCACTAGCGTCATTCAAAAAAATGTTTACGATTGATATTCCTATTGATACTTTCATACTAAGACTCCAGTCTTCCCACTTTTAAGCTGCAAGCAACTTGCATGCACAGTACAGTAGTGCTAAGTCCTCAAAAACAGCTATGTCAAGCATCACATTTAAGCTTTCTTGGAAATCACTATTCCTTTAAAAAAGGGATTTTTCACCTAAAGCCAATATATATTCCTCTTCTGTCCCCCCTTCTCTCGGTCCACAAACACCAAAAGTTGGGAGAAACCCTAGCGGCTGAAATTATTCCCAGGAAAAATATACTCCAAAATCTTTGCTAATCCATGAGCAATATTATTCAGCTAGTAACATCTTGCTGGAAATATTATACTTACTCTTATTTGGAACCTTCTTTTGGCAATAAAACAGAAGTTCATGAGAACAAAATGTCACCTAGCAGCAGCAGTTATAGACTGTTGTGCCATGACATGAAGTCTTGTGCTGAAGACACTTCCAACAAGAACATTGCCCACTAAATGTTAGTTATGTTGATTTTTTTTAGATCAACATAAAGATACAGACCACACTTCTGAGAACCTTTGAGACTGTTTTGAGTAATTAAACATCTAAGAGCCTCAATTTCCTTTGTAGAATTAGAAAGTCCCATCTGTTCTCATGCAATAAATTTCCAATTTGTCTTATTTGCTCCAAGTCAGCCCAATATCAGAAATCTCCTGGGAAAAGTCAACCAGCCACAGCACACAACCATAGTCTCCCTGCATCTACCAGAAGTATTTCACCAGTGCAGTGCCTGAGATCTTTAACATCTGCTTCATTATGGTTGAATAAGAACCTGCCTATATGGGCCAGTGGGACTGACAATGATTGTAACGTCTAAAGTTTTCATCAAAATACCTGTATCTTTGGAGCAACGCAAGGTATCCAAGATGCTAAGGATTTCACAAATCTGAACATCCTAGGTAATATAATCAAAAATGTGGTGGTGACCTTCCTCCAAGCATATTTAATTGTCCGGTGAGATCCTGTACTCTTGAAAATAAATTTCAGCAAGGTCTCTGGCACTGCACTGTGCTAGTTGTAAGGAGTAAGGACATGTCTGGCTAAGTCTCCTCCTGATTATGGTCAAAAAAAGTCATTCCACTGGTCCTAACAACTTCTAGCTCCAGCACTTGGCACAGAAGGCGAAGCTGATGTAGAAAGCGAACTAAATGATATGAGCTATAGATTAGTATTGATTTTGAGAAGGGCTGCGAATAACCAGCTGCCACTTGGATTTCACATCACTGACTGTAATCCCTTGAGTACAGTTGTCCAATCAGTTTTCCATTCAACTTATCACGGACTGACCCAATCCATATCTCTACAGTTTGCCTATAAGGATAGTATGGGAGACTGTGTTGAAAACCTCACTAAACCCAATGTAAAAAACCTCCAGTGAGCTTCTCTCATCTACCAAACCAATCTAATAGCAGGCACAGCTTACCCTTGGCAAATCCATGCTGGCTTTCCAAATCACCTTTTGGTCCTGCATATTCTTAGTAATGGCTTCTAGCAGGATTTGCCTCAGAATCCCTCCATGGATTGAGTTTAGGCTCACCAGCCTCTAGGTACTTTATTTTCTTGCACTTCTTGAAGACGGATGCTTGTCTTCCTTCAGACATCAGGAAGCCTTCCTCATCATCATGACCTTTCAAAGACAACGGACATTGGCCCTGCAATGACATTGTTCAGTTCCCCCAGGCAGGCATGGCTGCATCTCATCTAATCACATGGACTGGTGTCTTATGTAGTCTCCAACTCCTTTTTCATCTGCTAGGAGTAATGCGCCATTCCTTCGGTGGCAGGGACCTGGGAGGCCTTAGAGTCAGCAAAGATTGAAGCAAAGGCGGCATAAAGTACCTTAGCATCATTCATCCCAGATGAAAGGAAATCTTGTAAAGCAAGATTCAAAGAGTAAAAGACTTTCTTTGAAATATACCCTCATAAATAAGCAATGCTTTCTGAGAATACAAGTTAATATTCCTGGAATTCAGCTACTAGTTTTGGGCAGGTCTCAGAATTTCAGATAATGAGATGTTCAGAAATATCCTCTTTTTTTTTTCCGCCTTCTTTTAATTTTGACTAATTGGGCTTCACAGAAGACAAACACTCTGCATACACTGGTCTTACCTAAGTATTGCAAAAAGTGAAGGAGCTCCCTGCAGTCTGGCTTGCAACTGCAGCAATAAAAGCCCTGAGAAAGAGTAAAGGTCTTTGAGCCTTTGTGTACAAGATCAGGACAGAAAATCTGGACTCAGATACTGAAATTAAACCATCGAAGTTATAAGGACTGAATGCCCACAGCTCTTGGGAATTCAGGGGATCAGGAGTGACATTTCTAGCTCATCATCACCAGTAAATCAGGTCTGACTATTTTCAGAGAGAGTCAGCAGTGCTGATGGGAAGCGACTGCCATCACACTGTGCAAACACATCTGTTGGGACAACCTAAACTGTTTACTTCCATGGCAAGGCTGGTGTAATTGATTCCACACTGGTCATTCATGTGACAGCAGAGTCAACTGAATGAACGTTGCCCTAGGACTGCAATAATGCATTCCTGGCTGGGAACAGCTTCGAGTTCAAGCTGGTAAGAAAGAACGGCCTTGTTGTCACCTTTCTCCTCACTCCCCTTTGCTCTACCCTGCTGCAACCATCGCTACAAACAAACAACAACATTGTCAAGATCCAAGGAGGTGCCAGCTCACATCAGAAGGAAGGCGACGACACGACATGTCACATTACAGCGCAAACACTCCAGCTGGCTGTAGAGCTGTCATCATTAGCAGCAAGATTCCATTGGGAGCCAGCATGGTTGGAAGTCAGCATAGACAGACGTTTCCTCATTACAGGTCTCTGATTAAAATTCGGGAGCACACACGAGTGTCATACCTGATGTAACATGTCATGTGTCGCTTTGCACATCCTGGGTTAGCTGATTCCATGAGCTTGTTCTTTTTGATGTTTCTGCATAACCAGATGCAACTAAAACCCCAGAAGATTTCTCAATGAAACAGCCCCAGTGAAACCACATAACTACTGTAACATAGTACGGACTCAAAATCTCTGTCTCTCTACTACCCGAAGTAAAATGCTGTGCTGAGGATAGAATATATATCTATGCTTAGAAGTCACTGTAAAACTTGCTGCCACTGCTTTGAGCCTGCAACGGTCCCTGGGGAAAATATTTCATCTTCACAAAGCGGAAAGATGCTGTTCGACTCGCTGCCTCCTCGCAGGACAGTGAATGTAGAGCAACACATTCACCACCTGTGCCCAACATGAAATGTAAATCTCTTTGCTGGAAAGGATTCATATAGTTTTATCTGGAGGACTACAGAAACATAAGATACAATCTGGGAGGTTAGGATCCCTGCTGAATAGATGGGTGGAAAAAAAGGACATGGGAATGAATGGATAGAAGTGCTGGGGGGAAGGTAGGGGAGATGAAGGATAGGACATTAAGGTGAGGATGGGTAACTCAGTTTCACAACTGCTACGTACCGGCAAGATTGCTGCATCTGGTATTTGTCAGAATAAGATGGTGGAGCCTGACATCAATGAAAAAAAGCTCATAGATGAAGACTTATTTTTAATGAAAATATGCATGTGCAAAAATGATCTTTGGATCTTTCATACGCAAAATTTCATTTGAATAACACCAAAAATATGACTACCACACAGGTAATAGAAGCAAATTAAAATTCAGGTTTTCTAGTAATCTCTCATTTCCATTTGCAGTCCTCCTTCAGAAGGAGGGTTTCTGAGTTTGCGGAGTAAAAGGTTCTCAATTCTCTCCCTCAATCAGAAAACACATAAGCTTTCTGTAATGTCTGCATAGCCAAAGATCACATACAATAGAAATCAATAATGTCATAATTGAGAGCCAACCATTTCAAACAATCAAAAGCTAATTGCATGTCTTAAAAAAGGGAGTAACAGACTTCAGTACAAGCAGTGAAATTCAACACATTTAACTTTAGCACTCGAAAATTTAAGGCATCTAAGCCAGTCAATAGCGAGAGATGTCTTCAAAAAACATTGCTGGCATATGTCAACAAAATGGGAATAATTGTTCTTTGGAGGTACTGTGGAGAGACAACCCTCTTTACAAGGAATAATGGTTGCAGGAATATATCCTAACTAGTGTACATATTACATAAAAAATGAATTCAAGGAGCATATGTTTAAGTTGTAAGGGAAATAAAAAGCTTTTGCTGGTACATCTAGTATTTTATAGACACAAAACAGAGACACAAAACTTACTTATATATTACATATTCTAGTATATAACATAGAAAGACATCAAATCTTGGTCTGGATGTCAGACCTCTTAGTATTTTGTTCCAATCGCTCTCCTGCTTAAAAATGTGTCAGTACTATTTTGTATGCAATATTTTTGTATTTCTTTCCTCCAGAGATTAATTCTTGCTAGATCTTTCTGCAGTAGAGTGACAGGCTCTATATTAAAAGCAGTAATACAGCTACGTTTAGAAAAGCCTTGAACTGACTGAATTCAATAATAGCCAAGTTCATAGGAGTAGCTTATCATAAAGTCAGGACTTTGCTGAACAAACATTGCATTTTTCTTCGAAATCCAAATGGCTGCTTGAAAAAGAAGACAAAAGAAATGAAATGCTCAGGTGAATATTTCACTTCTTAAGTGGCTCCAGAACAAGCCAAATAATTCCTTGAAGCAAAATAACAAAATAAAACTTTCGCAATAATAAAAACTTTTGTTCTTTCATTTTTTTCCTAGACAGTTTCATTTTTTTTGAAGGTACCAAAGAAAAGAGCATGCATAAAAGACTTACTTTGCTTTGAGTGTTTCCTCTTGGAAATTCCACTGAGGGTCTTCCACGAGCTGCAGTTCCCGTAAAACACTCCCTGGCTTGTAGGCTGCATTGATCACCATGCTAAGAACCTAACGAGAGACAAAACCAACACTGTGCATGGGCTGCAGTCCTTGACCTCAGTGGATACAAGTCAGTGATGCACAGGCAAAAGCTGCTACAAGTGCCAACTTAGGCTCAAGGATGCACAAGAGTATGTGGTAGATCAAATGAGAAGAGGTCCCAGAGCTAATCAACATGCCAAGATGATGCCTCTGTCTGAAGCTGCAGCTAGTTTAAATGTTCCTGGTTGACCTCAGAGGTCTCCTCTGAAACCGCACTTGGGCTTTGAGCCAAATCCTTTCCACCAAGGCTGCCCCAAAGCATGTGTTACTCCCTGCATCCTGAATTTAATGGAAAATGAAAATGAAAGGAGTTTGCAGCAGGCATGTCTGAAACCCAGTGTGTGTCTGCTCAGTGTAAAACCACCTGTGCACCAATCCATTGAACCCAAAATCTTTGAGAACAAAAACGATTCCTACTGTTGGCTCAGAGAATCTGAGCTTTAATAGTCTATGTGTGGCCTAAGGAGGTAAACATAAGAAAAACAAATGTCTCCACAGCACCAGACCATGTGTCAGCACACACTGCTTTGTACGGACATCAATGACCCCACAGTGGGTCTGTATCAGTTCTGATATAATTTAGCTCTTTACCTAATGCCTGCCCTTAGCTCCCTGGAGGCCTGCAAATGATTTCAGGGTCGTGAGAGTTAAGTTTCCCCAGCACCTATGAACATGCATTGTCAGAAATGAAATACCCGGTAGGTCACATTTCAAACAGCATTTTTTTTTTTGATCCAGCAACCTGAGGATTTTCTGGCATTTTGAAAAACACATGGGATGAATCATTTTCGGGCAAGGACTTCACTCAATGCTGTGCTTTACCAAGAAAACAGCAATGTTTGCCTAGCTAGTTTATTTACTAGAAACAAAATCTGATTTATCACTGGACCCTTGTAAACATTACAGGAATAAGTCTTAAAAAATGTAATTAAAGAGACCTAAAGACTCTCTAATGCGTGATAATAGTAGCAACAGCTCTGTTCATCTGTACATCTCAAAACACCATGTGAGCAAGGGCAGAAGCACCCTCCCTATCTCACAGAAAGGGAAACTAAAATACTGAAATTCTGTCCTACTTGCAATTCCCCAGCTGATTTCAATCTGCTTCTAAGTACAACCCATCGTAGCAGTTGTTACTGAGCCATACTGATGGCCAAGAGAAGAAAGGAGAACTTCTGAGCGAGCCCATCCACCAGCTTGGTCACATCTTTTCTTGATGGCCACTCATCGTATGAGCTGACACAGCGTTGGCCTCTGGGCACAGAGATACTGAGACCCAAAGCAGCAAAGCCAAACCACTGGCTGAGCCTTGAATGGCTCTATCTAAGCAGGCTTGTGCCCTGACTTATTTTTTTTCCAGCCTCACTCAAAATCTAAACATTTCAGAACGAGTAAAACTAAGACTTTGGAGTCTGCAGCAGTTAAATGCACAAAATCCTCTTTTAATTAAAATTTCCCACTTGACTGCACTCCATATGGAGAAGACAAAACTGAGGTTAAGGCACTGTAATACTAATGCTCTCCTAACGTACACCTTCCCATCCCTTCAGCCAGGCGTGACTTTCCCAAGTGGCCAGCTCTAATTCGAGCATAAAGAAAAGGGGGGTTTTCAAAAAACCTGCAGTATCTGCAAAACCCCCACACAAATTCACAGCTCATCAAATGTCTTCCCTTCTCAGGCCATAAAATATGGTAGTCCTCTGCAAGGGCACAGTGGAAAATCTCCTTTAATGTACTCTTCTACGCCCACCCTGGCTTGCTCAGGCATTATCCGAGACACCTAGTGAACCTCAGCCCTGCAAAGACACTCCACATTCCCACATTTCCCACTAAATTAGCTTGTCATCACCATGACTCTCAGTAATCTTCTAAACTCATCTTATAAAGACTGTTTTGACAGAATAATAATTTCCCTTTGGGGAAAGGGAAAACAACAATAACAGGAAAAAAAAGGGTGTTAGCTTTTACTCCTCATGTATCATGTATTTCATACGTGTCACTGGGCCTGGCATTCTACCTTGCAGCAGGAGTCCATTATCATACTAATAACGTTATCTTCTAACAACATTATCCCTAATCTCACACACTGTTAAACACTAGCAAGGCACTAGAATATTTCATTTCTTGAGGAAAAAATTAACTGAGATTCAAAAACAAAACAAACAAACAAACAACAGTGAAGACCAAATTACAACTTCATCTGGAGACAGAAACACACTTCATCACATCAGATGGGTCAAATAATTTTGGTTTGATTCACTGAATTCCCTATCGACTTGAGCATAAAAAGTCTGAGAGTTTGATAGCTTATTTTTATACCTCCCCATCAGGAATACTTTGGGTAGAGCCAATG